AGACCCCACGGGAGACAATTCAGCCCAGACAACGTCATGTCCTATATATACCAAAGATTCCCTTTCCCCACTATTCCCGCTCCAAACGAACATCCCAAAAACCTCACGGAGGTAAATCCACCCCAACCCCCCCCCCCCCACCCAACCCCCGCCCGAACCCTGCGCCTCTACGGCGGCGTGTGTTTTCCATGTCGGGATCAGAGAATCGACTCCGCAACGGAGCTCCGACGGCTTTGCTGAAGCAGAATTCGTGGTCTCCCGACATTCTCCGGGACGAGGCGTGGACGATTCGCCGGAGAAATCACCGGCTGCGGCGCGGCCGCAGCGTGACGGACGATGACCTAGACGAGCTGCGCGCCTGCTTTGACCTGGGTTTCAGCTTCGATTCGCCCGATTTGGATCCGAAACTCCGCTCCACTTTCCCCGGACTTGATTTGTACTACGCCGTGAACCGCCAGTACAGCAATACTCTCTCCCGAACCTCGTCGGCGTCGTTTTCCGATTGCGACTCCGCTTCGTTGTCCGTCGGCAGCCCTAAATCGATCATCGATCCAGGTAATAATTCAATTTTATCTTTCAATTAAAAAAAACAGATTCCTGATTGTTGAATCGAGATTAATTTGGATTTAAGATAAATATTTTCGTATTAATAATTGCAAATAAAAAATAGGTGAAGAACCAGAGATAGTCAAAACGAAATTGAGGCAATGGGCGCAGGTGGTGGCGTGTTCGGTGCGCCAATTTTCGCCTAACCCGTGATTCGATGGCGACTCATAATTTAACAGCCGAAAGCCCCAAAAAAATGAAAAAAGGAAAAAAAAAAAAAAAAAAAGCAAAAGGTAGATTTTCTCCTTTTTTTTTCTTTTTTTTTTTTGTCCCCCGCTACCAATCTCTATCTTTGTCTCTAAGTTTAAAATCATTGCTGAAAATGGCAATTGAATTTCTAGATTTTTTTTCCTGCTGGTTTCGGTGGTTGAAGATTGTTGTTGGTTTTTGCCCCATTTACTGCGGGGTTTGTAAATAATTTAATTTAATTATTTCCTATATCTGCTTTTGATTTTCTGTGTATAGTCTTCAATTATGTTTTCATTTTGTTTTTCAAATTCCAACCTTCATTGAGCTGTCGATTATCAACTCTCGGGTAAGAGGTAAGTGTGAATGTGATTCAATGATTAAGCTACTTGATTTAGGGGGTATTTTTCGTGATAATTATGAGCAAATCAGACTTGAAAACCTATACAAATTTAAATTATATTCAAAACCAAAAAAGTTATGAATAAGAATTAGGGGTGTAAATTAGCTGAGTCCACTCTCGAGTTCCATCTTGGCTTGTTCACACACGTTGATAGCAAAATTGAGATACATAATTTAGAAAATAAATTTGGTCAAATGCGACAAGTCGGATCAGGTTTGACCCAGCAACCCACTAATTATAATAATGGGCCTTGAGAAATTATTGAAGGTCACATGGGGCTGACAAATTCCAGCATTTCAGAAAATCATTTTTATTCTTTTCTCAAATAAAGATGAATAAAAACAGCTCTCAATACTTGTTTGATTCAAGAAAAATGAGTCGAGTTTTATTTTATATAATTTGTATGGATTTAAACTCAAGCTGAACAAATTGTATCGGAGCTTTTATTTTTTTACAAAAATCAGTACTACTATCAATAATTAGTTATATAATAAATATTTTTTTTAATACTTAGCTGGTATGTGAAGTAAGACTAGCAAAATTCTTTAATTTAGCGAAATATTAAATTATCGAATCAATAATATAATACATTTAAATCGCTTCTAATTTATGGAGGTTGTACTATAATTTAATACATTTACATAATCTAAAGAATTTGGACCCCTATATTTGGATTTATACACTAGTCAAAATGCTCAAGATAGTGTTTGTAATCTTATGCATTGTCGTCCAATGGAAGATGCATTAATCTGGAACAAAAAAACATCTTGTCGAATGACTATCTTTGTATTTCAATTATGGACTTTGAAAAGTTCTGTGTTTTTTAAATAATAACAATAAATAAATAAGAACAAAAATGTACATGAAAAAAGAAGAAGAATATCCTCTTTGAGTGCAAAGTATATATTCCACTTTAATTATCAATTGATTGTAAAATCCACTACTTGTGCTCATTGTTATATATATCAATGGGTTGGAGTCATAAGACAAAAATAATATACGAGCATTTCTTTTTTTACTAAAAGAGTTTAGGAATGATATACATTTAAGTAATATTAACAACCTTAGGCCCGTTTGGTTGGTAAGATAAGATTAGCCAAGATAAGATTAAATAATCTAATGAAACCTAATTATTTTATTGGAGCTTGAAACGTCCAACAAAAAAAACTCATTAGAAGGCAAGATAAGCCATGATTATATAATTTTGGCGGGTCGACCCGGCAATTTATTGAGGATACCAATCATCAAATTAAGTCCAACTATTTAGTTAATCATGACTTGTCTTGACAACCAAACGGAGTCTTAGTATAATCCATAAATTAATACGTTTTGGACTAGCAAAGTTGAATTAATTTAGTGAAATATTAAATTATCGAATCAATAATTTAGCATGTGCCACCGAGCCAAAACTGAGAGAAAATATTATTTGAAGCGAGTTTATTAATCTATTTGATATGTCTATTGAGCCAATTCAATGGACCTACGATTTATTTATTTACCGGTTATCGTGCCCAATTTAGAAGCTATTACTACGAATGCCCAATCACTTTTAAATAAGATTCGGGCCGGGTAAATTTGTTTCGACCCAATGAAGGAAGTATATATAGAACTTAATTCATTTAATCAATGTACGTTTTATATACTCAAGCAATCCAGATATTGTAATTCTCTCGATTATTTCACGATCCCAGTATCTTACTTAAGCATCGAAGCGGTTTCCGCCGGATCAACCCAGCTTAGTTCACGTTTAAGTGATCAGTGATCCGATTCATATCTTCGATTACATTTACTACAGATAATTAACAAGCATCATCACTATTAATTATTATCGATGTTCTGCTGTAATATTAAACGAAAAGATGTAAAGAATAGAATTAAAACATCTTTATTTGTAGAAATTTCATGTGGGGTGGGCTTCCTTACAAGCAATAAACCACTTGAACAATGTTGGACTCGGGTCCATCACATATATGCAGCATGGTAATATAACTAAAAAAGTCCAACTCATTAGAAAAATAAAATATAAAAATATAAAAAAATTATTGAAAAATCAAAAATGAAAATAAAGTATAGGGAGATCATGGGAGAAATGGGACCACGAAAATTAGTTATATATTATTATTATCACAAAACTAAAATATCTTGTTCCATTTCAAAATATCAAGATTCAAATGATGAAAAGATGGACAATTATTGATTTGTTTATTAGAGATAAGCATTATTTTATTTAATAATTAATACTATAAGACCATATAACTACTGTCTCTTCTAATTAAAGACTTGTAACCCCAGTCAACTGATCCGATTGACATTATCTATATCCCTTTTAGAAAATTGAAATAATGTGATAGTTAACAAATACATTGATTAATTCTAATGTTTTAGAGATAGCACAGATTCAATGAATTTAACAATAAACATCGATTTGAAAATTAAGAAATTTGTAACTACTTTTATACACACTATCAAAATTTGCCGTGCGAATAAATCATCATCGGTGTGTAAGAGAAAGAGTTAAAAGAAAAAAAATACTATTGGAACGGATTATGATTTTACCAGTGAATTTTCCAATTTGGTTTACTATAAAAGTCATTAAAAAAAATTGGAGAAAATAAAACATTAATTATTATTAATTTTACAAAATTTACAAATATGCAATTAGATTTTTTTTGGCTGCCATAACGTTTATTATTTTTATATATAAATATTAAAAGGTCTAAATAAGAAAAAAATATCATAATTTATTAGAGACACGGAAATTGTTTACGACCTTACGAAATGTTCTTCCGAAACTTCTAAATATTGGATTTTATTCGAAAAATAAGTTGACGAAAAAGTATCAAGATCAAGATCAAATGATATTATAATTTTTTATGATATTTGTAATAATAGTTTTATAAATACAATTGTTAAATAGGATATAAAATACTGTGTTGATAAAATACATATACAAGTAAAAACCAAGGTCCACACATACACCTCACATCACCACACACGCACACACACAAACAACAAGCGTGTGTTACGTGAAGACAAAGCGCCGGTGCTTGGGCCAAAAAAACAAATATCTGGCTGGCATTGGGCTGAAGATATTTATCAGCTCCGTCCGACGTGGCAACTAGTCACACGTGTAAAAGCGCTTCCATGTGGAACCTTTTACTTCATTTTCTATTTCACCGCCTCTCTCTCTTCTCTCTCTCTCTCTATAAGGAGATTTTCTTTGCCAAGGGTTTTATTTCCATTTTTTTTATTATTTTTGTTCAGATATTTTCGTTAAGCATTTCGATATACTGCCGATGGAGGATTGTTGCCTGCCGGGAACGCCGCATCCGCCGTCGGCGGCGGAGATAGTTTGCGACCATGAGTTGACTCGGTCGAACTCGGACGCGTCATCTTTGACTGCTGAGAATTGCCAAGATATTTTTCGACGCTCAGAGAATGAGACTGCGCCGCCGGTAAACCTTTTGTTTTTTCCGTCATCTGTTCTGTAACTCTTTGATTTATAATGTGGTCTCGGTTATTTTGTTTTTTCTTATTTCGATCTGAGGCTTACGATGCAGTAGTTTTATGTAATTAAATTAAATGTGATCCTGCCTAGTTTTTCTGCTCTGAATTTTGTACCTGAGTTAAGTGTAATTGAATTAGGGATTGCTGGAGTAATTACTCTATGAATTTATCGTGATCTATTTAGATTTCGCGTTAAAAAGGATAAAAACATAAGTGATTGTTTCTGTATATTTGAAGGAAGGAAGAAATAACTCTGTAATGGTCAAATTTACGGTTGAGTTTCGATTCGGTTGACTTTAGCCTTTTGATTTTGTGATTATAATTTGTTGCTGTGGTATAGAGAGAAATTAATAGACATGAATGTCGATCGGGTTAGAGCGAAAAGTCCATTGCTAAAACGAACCTTTGGTGTCGATTTTATGAAAATTGCAATCATATCTTGTACAATATTTGATGAAAACACAATTTAGTATCTATTTGTTACAAAAGCAGGAATAAACCTTGGTTTCGTCAACCATGCGAACCCTGTAGAGCTTCTATATTAGTAATGATCACATTTCACAGATGATTTTAGTTTCAATGTATATTCCTTATTTTTGCAGGTTGACCGCACAGCATGGACAGATGAGAAACACAATTTGTATCTACATCGTTTGGAAGCATCATTTGTTAAACAGCTGCACCAGACAAAACGTTTGCTTGCAAAATGCTCAGAGCAAAATCTGATACACATTAATGTATCTCGGAAACGCTCGATTAATGTGAACGGTGCCTCTGAGAAGGTATTACCTTTGCTGCCCTTATTTAATGTTTTATGCTGTTAAAATCTCTTTCGTCATTGCATGGCCATACTACCAAACGGAAATTAATTTGTTATTTTTTTTTTTCAGTTCAATATTCTCCGGAATTGCTGTTCGCAAAAGACTGACTGTGTAAGGGGTGATACCTACACTTCTCTTAAGAGTAAAGGGTTGAATAATTGCAAAGAGTTTCTGAAGCTTCGCGGTACAGTGAAGAACGGGAAAAAGATAAATTCTCATGGCTTAGCAACATGTTCAAAGGAACTTTCTTCCAAGAGCCCACACCACATGGTTTTATTTGACCTAAATAAAGGTTATATATTCAGACTCATCCTCGTCACTAGGTCTTAGTCTTTGTTATTCCTCCATTTAGGAAGTGGGGTGTTTTGAAATAAGGCATGTGTGTTTTAGTTATAATGAGGGTATATTTTTCTCGTTTTTGAGTTGCTAAGATGGCAAGCAGACAGACATAGAAGATAAAACTAATCCACATTTTACTTAGGATGGGGATTTAGTTTTGACAAGTAAGTTAGGAAATTGGGTAATGCATCGGATAGTTCATCCTTTTTTACTTCTTTGCTATCGAGTTATTAACATTTATCGGATTTTTCTGCAGAGGGAACAGGTCAGAATTTTTTGTATGATGACAATCGAAGTACATCAAATATCGAGTCTCGGGCGAAACGATTGAAGACAGCTTTAGCAGATAGTTCAAGTCAGGATCAAGTAATGTGCATAATTAATTCTCGATTTTGCTACTTTTTTTTTCTTTAAATGTTCCAGAAATTTTTAGATCCCTTATTGACAAATGTATCTATTCTTTCAGATTGTTCCTTCCGGTGGATCTCCTACAGACGATTCAGTGATAAATAGTCCCACCCTCGGAGAAGAAACTAACACCTCATGAGTATGTTTGAAAATTTAAGAGAGCTTTGTTTGTCCTTCAACTTGAAATTCTTTTCGACACGGGTGCTGCTGCAAGACTTCTTTTGACAAATAACAAGAACGACTTTAACGAATACGAGCCTTTTAATTTCTTCTGCCAGTGACTAGTGATCGAAAGAACAGTTACAAAGCCAGATTTAGGTGACGTAAATTTGATTTTTTTTCTTTCTTCTGGAAATATGGATTTCTGTATGGTTTCGGGTCATAGTAGGAAAGTAAATTTCATTTTTTTTGTAGATGTAAACGTAGAACATATATATCTCTTTTATGGCTAAATTTAGGTTCCGATTTTAAATGTTTGGGGGTTATTTTGTAGTTAAGTGCTGGGGGTTTGTGGATTGCCTACTCCAAACGCATTTATTTTCGTCTAATCTGTATCGATAATCGGATATCTGTTTGAGTAATCTAGGTTTAAATTATAAAAACCACCTTGTTTGGAATCTAGTATTGTTCTTCACATTGTAATCATTTTAGTTAGGTGACAAAGAATGAGGTATCACGTGTTAGGTTAAACCTCCTTTTTTCTGTTTATGTAATTATCCATCCTAAAGCTAATTTTATACCATACATTTTGTTTTTATATGTTTTTCTAATCTGGAATCCTTGCCCATGAAGTCAAGCCATCAGCAAGCAAAAATTGAGGGAGATTTATATTATTAATACAACAAACCAAATTCAATAAACTATGAACCTCCTCGAGCTCGATTCGTTGTTCGACTCGATTAAAGCCGGTTCGAAATCTACTCTATTGTTGTATTGTTTATCAATTTAAGCTCAAACACAATTTTAAAATTCTTTCCAAATGCAAACAAATTAGACTAAATTACGAGCCTTTTTTCCACTTTATTTCATCATTTGTATGTATTCTGCTCCTAAAACCCCCTCCTCTCTGTCTCTCTCTCTCACACACACACACAAACACGGAGGAGCTCGTTTAATTTTTCCATGAAAATAAAATTAATATAATATTCCAAAAATTGACAATAAGAGGAATTAATTTCCCAAATCGGAGTTGATGGCTACTTCATCAAGTTCCAGTCACAGGCAACACTCCAAACCCGGTGAATTACCCGATCCGGATATTCCATCAACATCTTATTCATCATCGTCAGCATCTTCTCCTCCGAATCCGAACAGGAAAAAATGGTCGAATTTTCTACCGATTCTGGTTGGTTTGGTGGTGATTGGAGAGATCGCCTTTCTCGGCCGCCTCGACATGGTTAAAAACGTTGACCTAGTCAACTCATGGGCCGACTCGTTCTACCGCTTCACTCAGACGACGACAACAAAAACGGCGTCGTCTTCCTGGTCGAACCAGATAGCTGGGTCGGGACACGACCCGGTACCCGACCACGAGGACAGCTGCGAAGCTTGGTCGGAGAAGGAGGACTA